ATGGCAAACACTTGAGTAAAACCTTATTCCCACCCCTCCAGAGCCCACCCCTACCAGTGATGTACTCTAATTATATCTTTAGGTAAATATAGTTTAAAAACTTGTTTATATTGTATGCAATATATTTTAATGATTTTTATATTAAATTAATTACTGTTTTACTAAATCCCATCATTATGTGCGAAATTGATTGGAGAGAGAGAGAGAGAGAGAGAGAGAGAGAGAGAGAGAAAGAGAGAGAGAGAGACTTATAGTATGCGAAGAGTATAGGGAAAGGGATTAATATTTAATGTCTGACATAAACCCTTAAAACTTGATGCTATTCTCCTCTGGATTCTGCCTTTTTGTTAATAAATAGTTCATTGATTTTTGTGCGCTGTGTTTGCATTGCATTATATTATTATTTAACTCAAAGTCTGACGCCCTTTACTTGTGAGCACTAATTTAGGCACTAATTTAATACAAGAATATATACAGAATCTGCACACAGAATAAACAGCGAAAAATTTAAATGAATAATTTTTTGGGTGGTTTCCCAACACCCGTCCCTTAATTTAACGAAATGATTGTTTTGTGTTTAAATTTAGCATAGATTCTGTCGGAGATATTGTTTGTATTACACAATGCAGTATACAGTAAATGAGTTTTATTATTTTAGATTATGGTATAAAATAATTGCATTTTAGCGCAAAAACAAGAATCGCCACCAAATGTAGTGTCAAAAGAAAAGTATCGGTTATTAGAGAGTAAATTGATTGATGTGTAGAAACTAATCAATTTGATAGGCCTTACACTTAATTAATGTAATAGTTGTCTAGACTCTGGCGTTGAGAGAGAGAGAGAGAGAGAGAGAGTCATTAAATACATGGACTATAGTATAGTGGAGTGAAGTGTCGAAAATTCATTAGATATTATAATAAATACAGAATTTGCGTTTATGAAAGATATGCTAAACAGGTCGGCACTGAACCCGAAGAGAGAGAGAGAGAGAGAGAGAGAATGAGAGAGAGAGAGAGAGAGAGAGATTATATAAAAGTAAAATAAATCCAATTCAATATCTCATTGATTGTCATCCACTCTATAACAGATTAAGCCCCAGAAGATTGACCGCAACTTATGAATCAAAGAGACATATCGTATGAAACGAAACAACAAAAACATTACACTTTATTTATCCACAGAAAGAGTGGACCAAAAGGGGTCACGACTTCCAGTCAGACATAGGAAGAGGGGAGAGAAGGACAGAGACAGTGATAATTAATGCCTAAAAACAAGAACCCATTTATATACTAGACTTATGAGTACAGAATTGTCTGATTGTCTGTTGATTTGATCACAAAACTGAATGCAAAGACAAAACCCAAACTATAAAAGCCAATGATTGCCATTGGATTGGCGTTTGGGAACCGGGAGTTTAGGATTGCATTTTTTTGTTGCTTATAGAGAGACAAACCTTATAGAAAACGGAGGGAATATATCCGGACGACTGGTGATCGGCCAACAGTTGGCACGTATTGTTTAGCTCATTATCGGCAGTGCTGTTGGCGTACTTGCCATCGAGTGTGATGTCTGTAAAACCTATAAATTCATTAGGGTTAGGGTTAGGGCGCATACATACACACACACAGCACACAATAGGGCGGGTGTCGGGAGCGGTAATAACAATGATGGTTATATAGTGGTAGTGATGATCGGGCAATGGTAATGGTGTTGGTGTTGGTGGCGGTGATGGGGGAGGGGATGGGGACTGGCATTGAGAGACAGTGTTAACAACACAACATTTTAGTGTCATTTACTGTTCGTTAAGTCCTGTCAGCGCGAGTGTCAGCGCACTGTTGGGACACAACTAACCCGACAACACATACACAGAGACAAAGACTGTGGAGAAAAAAAGGTCTTATACTAACCAAAAGTGTCTGATTTGTCGTATATTAGGTTCATATGACTTGAATTATCTTTTTCTTTTGGCTCCTGAGTTGTCACATATCTGTTGGCGAAAATCAAATGCAATTTAAAAACAAAACAACAAAATATATATCGCATTAACTTCTCATTGACAGCGAAAAGTTTTTTCTTTGATATTTTACTTTTATTTTTTGCTGTTATCTTATCTTTCGTTTACTTACTTTGAATTCAGTTCTGTTTCTTCTGTTGTTTTCGGTGTTTGTATTGTATTTTTTTTTGTTAAAATAAAGAAAAGTCAAATGATTTAATCAATGTTTAAGTTTTAGTACAAAATATAATTATTATTTTCATGAAATTTTCCCCCACTCTGTATGTAAACTGAGATAATATCACACTATCTATAAAATATCTATTATTATATTTTGAAATGTTATTTAAGATTTTTTTCAAACTATTCATTACATCAAAACGTTAACAAAGTTATGAATTTTGATATAACAGCTTAAATAGTCTATAATAAGATGTAATTCTATATAAAATTACTTCAACTGAAAAACGAAATAAAAATTCCTTTATTTATAATAAGACAAGAATATCGACTAAAACTGTTGTTGAAAATCGATACACAAGAATATTCTTGTTGTTCACTACAAACTCAGGCTATCAATCGATAGATAGTTATTATCTATCAGTTTAACAGCACAGGAGAGAGAGAGAGAGAGAGAGAGAGAGAGAGAGAGAGCTTTTTCGAAAAGTGAGTTTTTCCATCATTTCTTAATGTGAACATTGGTTTACTTTTGGCACAAAAAATGCTTGCGTTTGTGTCAAAATAGAGGC